AGCATGTTCTACATATCCTAGCAACTGTAGCTTATACATCACAATGGCAATGGCAATAGCACTTAGACTTATATTACTGCTTCAGTGCTTTACAGCCCTCTCTACTGGTTTACAGTGTCAGCATATTGCCCCCAACAATCTGGGTCCTCATTTTACCCACCTCAGAAGGATGGAAGGCTAGTCAACCTTGAGCTTGGTGAGATTCGATCTGCCAAACTGCTGGCGGCTGGTGATCAGCAGAAGTAGCCTGCGGTACTTCCCTCTAACCACTGCGCCACCACAACTCTTATTGAGTTGAAAACAGTTTGTGGTTCAGCAAATATGCGCAAAAATTGTAGTGCTAGGAAAAATCCTTACCAATCTGACAGCGTATGAGAGATTTATAGATTGTTCATTTTAAAAATTTATTTTAAACCTGGAAATCAGTTGAACTGTCAGGTATAAAATAAATTATTGCAAGAGTGTATGTATTAAATCTGGTCAGGAAATAACACTGGAGTTCTGATGACTGCACTCATGCACATATCTACCATATCCATTCAATAATCTTGGCAAAAACATTGAAGAGATATAATACTGTTCTTTTCCCTCTAGAGTTTATAAATCTCTCATCCAGCCTCTGTTTACTTTTTTTAGGATAACCCAAGGTCACCTAGTTGTTGTCACAGCAGGTGACAACAATTAATTTATCGAAGAATAGCATTTATGTTAGTACTCAGTTAAAATTTTGTCTTATCCACTCACATTTTCTTTTCTATATTGCCTTTACTGTCTGATTTTTGATGTGTCAATATATTACAGCAGCTCTTGTCTCAATGCAAGGAGAAAGGTGAAAGTGTGACAGCTCCTGCAATGCATTCTTTCTGTGGCCTCCTTTGCTGGAGGACAGTACTGTGTGTGTATTACATGATAAAAAAGGAGGGTGACACAGACCAGACTAGCTGCCCAAACTGCATTCTGGATAAACTTCTGAAACAATTCTAAACAGCACTTATCATTGTTTGGAATATTGCTAGGAAATAAGGAATTGCAAGTGTATAGCATTTTTTAAAGAATAAATTCAGTTGCTATTGTAGCAGAAAAAGAGCAATAGGTTCCAATGTATAGTTTATACCCATGGTCCACTATGAAACTGTGTGATCGGACTTGCTAAACCGACACTTAGAGCTTTAAAATTAATGAGTAGTTATGATCGGCCTCTCCTATCCCCTTCTCTCCCTCAGGCTTGCCCCAAAGAAGCCTCTCCTCTCGATTCCCCTTCTTTCCCTCAGGCTGGTCCCATTGATCCTCTTCTATTCCCTTAACTCCCTCAGGCTTGCCCCATAGAAGCTCCTCCTCTCGATTCCCCTTCTCTCTCTCAGGCTTGCCCCACAGAAGCCTCTCCTATTTTATCCTCTTCTCTCTCTCAGTCTGACTCCTTAGCATCAGAGCATTTTTCAGGTGGGGGGGGAGTAGAATGGCTAAACTCCAGGCCTGCAGGCCAGATATCCATGCCCATGGGGATGTGCTGGCTATGCAGTTGGAACAGAGTTCTTTTCAGGTGTGGAGGGAAAGTAGAAGATATAACTCCTTAGCATCAGAACGTGTTAATAATAATATAGAAATACTTATGATATGATGGTCATTCCCAAAAAATCCTTTCTTAGTAATCACCTGTGTGTGTGTGTGTGTGTGTGTGTGTGTGTGTGTGTGTGTGTGTGTGTATCCTGTTTCCCCGGATAATAAGCCCAATCGGACTTTTGAGTGCATGCACTAAAATAAGCCATCCCCTGAAAATAAGTCCTCTCCAAAAATATTCCAACAGAGCAGCAGCCATGAGGTAGCCACACTCACCTCCTGCACTTCAAAAATAATAAGACATCCCTGAAAATAAGGCCAAATGCTTATTTCAAGGTTTAAAAGAAAATAAGACCCATGTTTCCTCGAAAATAAGACAGGGTCTTATTTTCATAGGTATTGTTGAGAAGGCATTCTATTACTCCATTCCAGCCACCAAGGAAACGTCCATCTATGCTTATAATTATTGGGAACAGCAATTTGCAAAAATAGCGACATATTAATAGTTTCATTTTCAGGGCTTGCAACAAGCTTTTAAATGAAGCAAAGGAATGGCAGTTTGGCAAGTGGACATCACTTCATATCAACTGCTCAGATATTTTTTGCATACAAGAAAAATGCACACAACCCACACTAAAAAATGTGGAAGGTTAGAACCAGAAATTAATTTTCTTTTGGAATTTGTATTACTACTTGTAACTCATTAAGTAGGGTGGATTGATTATGTCAGGGTGTCAAACTCAAGGCGCATGGGCTGGATTCAGCCTGTGGGATGCTTAGATCTGGACTGCGGGGTTCCCCTGGAAACAGTGAAGGACCAGCCTGTGCCGCATTTACCACTTTGGTTTCTGCTGGCAGAGGTTTGCAGGAAGTTGTCGCAACCAAAATTGAGCTTACCAGAGACACATGGCCTCCCGAGCTGTTTTTGCTGGCAGAGTGTTGCAGGAGGCCATCACAGCCAAAAATGAAGTTTGGGAATCCATTTTTGCCAGCAGAGCACTCGGGCCACCACAGGCACTCCCTGACACAAGTGATGTCAAGTTGGCTATACTCACCCTGGCCTTGCCTCCCCTGGCCCCTCAAGGTCAAACACAACCCTGATGCAGCCCTCAGGGTTGACATCCCTAGTTTATGTAATTGATTTACCATACACTTGCTGGTCAGCAGGACAGTGGTTACTCTTCATTGTGTTTCTTTGAGTTTAGTAGAAATAAAACTTATTATGGGTGGCTTCATATTGCTTTGTGATGGATGGAATAGGAACCATGATGATATATAATCCAATAAGTCAATTGAAAATAAAAATAGCAGAAGAAATGGAATGGAGTAGCCTGGGGCATGGAACAGTTCTCTGGATGAAAGTTAAGCAGATGTACTGTATTCCTCCTAGAAGGAATACTTAGAAGACCTAACATTTTGATTCAGGTTTTCATTCAGGATTATCTGTATCTGATCTCAACTCACTGATAGCAATGTTCCTGGGGGAAACTTGTTCATAATTTCCCATTCTATTCCCATTCTAAACTCATAGATGTTATTTTCCTTTTGCAGTACCATTATTTTGGAACTTTTTCAGTCATGACATTTGAGCAGCTCCAAAAGACGCACACTCACACAAATACATATATTTTGAGAGCATTTTTAATGTTACTTTTCATTTTTGATTGTTTAATTGCATCTTAGAAATTTTATTGCACATTTCTGACTGTATTTCACCAACAGAGCAGGAAGCCAAAATCATTCAAACAATTTTTTTTTGTTAGCAATTACAAATAATAAATATAAAAATAAGTGATATTGGGATAGGACCCAAAGTTGCCAGTCAGGAAAGTTTGTAGGGGGAAAAAAGGAATTAGGAATTAGAGATCTCATTTGTTTCAAAGAAGGCTCTAATCAGCTATAACTATATGAACCCTTCCATATGAAAGGAGGAATCATTATGACATTGGTTATTTCTGTGTGACAGAGAAAGTGCTAAATTTCTGCCCTAAGCAAAACTCAACTTTAATATATAAACCTTTTGAATTTATGCAACAGGGCAGGGGAAAAAGACATTTCTTTTCTCAACAGTTGGCAGCAGGTCCAATCTTTATTTTAAAAAAATACATTAAAATGAAAGAGCTCCTAGTAAGGTAATTTAATACCTGTTTCTTACAACTGTCACAATCTCACTCAAAAACTCTAGGGTCTAGGATAGGGAAGGATTTTTGCAAGAATTTCTCAATTAATTTGGAACCCAATGACATTAAGCTCTTCCAAGCAGCCAGCTTTTGTGATAAACAATTTATTATAGAAATTCAATGATAGAATCAAATAAACAAACAAACTACAGTATATCTTATGTAACTCATTACTTCAGGATATCATACTTCCCAAAGATTATCTATCTTTTTTGGTTCAATGATTAGGCTATTGCTGTTTTATTGCTGTAAAACATGACACCTTGGATGCTTCCATATTAGAACCCTTTGACACTGCAAAATATTACTTCTTTGTGAATTGTTCCATGCAGAAATACTGTAAAAAATCCATGCAAATAAAGTGTCACTATATTATCAACAAATACTCTTTTCATGTGCAAAAGATTTGCTTATATTTACTTATTAATCTAACTGAGCAAAAGTTATTTAAAACTCAATTAAAAGCTAATTTACTGGTTACAGATTAATTCCTACTGTAGACTGTTAGTTTCACTTGCCATTTGCCATTATTATCTTCTCTGAACTGCTGAATTTATAGTGTCTGTCCCTGTGACAGAAACTTGAATTGTGGATGTGCTCCTTTCAATTATTAGAAAAAGTTTTAAGGAGCCTAATTCTTCTTTTCTTTTCAAAAGAAAAGGGAAAAAAGTGCTGAAAATAGAATTCAGATTTTAATGAAAAGTTTCCAATTTTAGGAAATTCAGGAAGCTATTAACTTTTTTTTCAATCTATTGATCATTAATTCCCATCCAAGAATTAATGAATTAGTGCAAAAAAGTATATATATAATGTTATATGCAGTAATTAAGCAATGCATAATCAATGCAAGAAAAACTCATAGGATTGCAAAGTGGAAGCTATTAAACGAATAGCATCCTGAGAAGTCAGAACTATATCAGCTACTGCACTTTCTTTCTAATCTGATTTTTTTTTAAAAGTCCATTAGAGAATAAAGCTATAAATACTGAATCGCAATTATTTCTTTTTGTTGCATTATCTAGATGTACCATTAAAAAAAACAAGGAAAAAAGGAAGGTTCTTCCAGGGAAAAAATTCTCTAGAACTGTTTCTAGGTATCATGATGCTACATTGATACTATTCAACTGAGCACTCCTATTCTGAAAATCTCCCTACAGAGTGACTGGTTCTACTCTTCCATAATAGAAAGTAGGTAAGGCAGCTGGAGTCCTTCTTGTTTTTCCCTGATGAAAGGAGCCATTATTTTCAGAGCTGATACTTTCTTCAGGGCTCAAGCCCAGGTCCATTTAGGCTTGAACCTTCATGTGGACTGGGATTGCTTCCAGGATTGGGACCCATCTGTATGGTATGAGTTTTCTCTGGGGGAATGACTTCGGGTTGCATTTGCTGGAGGCAATTGTCCTTGGGGTTTCTGCCCAGTTCAGTATTGTCCTCACCAGGTTCCTTAAGGCAGGCCTCAGAACTAATTGTCTTCAACAAATCATCCTGAGTCTTTTCAGAAGTTCCCACTCGCCAAGGCAAATGCGAGTATTTGTTCACTTCAATAGCAGGACTACGACGGTTAGGGTCAAGAGCCATGATGCGGCGGAACATACGCAAGGCAGGAGCTGTGAAAACTTTCCACAGGCCTGGAGCCTCACCTGGTATTGTGCGATTTTGCCAGATGCTAAATTCTTCAAACTTAGGATCAGGGCTCATTGCCATATCCCAAGGGATGCAGCCAGTACAAATGCAAAAGAGCAGCACTCCAAAGGCCCAAATATCAAGGCTTGAGTCCAGAGCTAGAGACTCTGTCCTCTCTAGCAGGCACAGTTCTGGTGGGGAATATGGCAAGACAGCAGACATAGCAGATATGCAGGTGCCTTCCAGTCGTGTCAGGCCAAAGTCACCTAATTTTATCTGCTGGCATTCTTGGTCAAAAAGCAGCACATTGTCTAGTTTTATGTCCCGGTGTACTAGGGCTTTGCCATGCATGAAATCCAGGGCATCAGCCAACTGGGCTGCACACCGTTTCACTTGCACTTCAGGAAGTCCTTCCTGTTGAAGAAAAGAGAAATAGAATTAGTGAAAAGTTCCACAAAATTCCAAGGATTTCAGTGGAGCCAATTTGTAAACATCCTCCCTGCAATTAATCAAGGAGTCCTTGTCTTGAATGGTTATGAAGAAATGCTTTTTCAAGATTGCCACAGAAACCATGCATGATTGGCTAACACTGTGATAGGCTAAAACTTTCTTTAAAAAAGTTACTGTATGTATATTTATATAATTGTATTACCCAAACTATCTTCTGCTCAACTTGGGAACAGTTTAAAGTATCTTCTTTTGATAGAAGAAAGCAAATATATGTATAGAAAAGTACAATTGTGACTTTAAAGAATAAAAGGGCACCTAGCCCGGTTGAATACAAAAAAGCCCCCAAATAAATGAAATAGTATTTAATGCACTATCAAACTGTTCTTCTACCATTCTAAGCAGGATTTGCAACACAGTTGAAAAACTCACTGCAAACTATTTTATCTAATAATTACCCTACCTTTAATTGTCCTCTTGTACCCACTCAAAAAATATCACCCTATGATATCCCATGCTTGATGAGATCTTGCCAGTTATGATGTCCTTAAAGTCTTTAAGATTTTATACCCCTGAATTCAAGATGCTGCAGAGATCTCCAGCTGGTGCTAACTCCTGTGCAAATCCATAATGAGTAGATGATTCAAAAGCACTGCCAATGGTTTGAAGAAGTGTAGGGTGTGAAGAGAGGCAGAGAGCAATACAATATTCCCACAAGAACTCCCGTCTCCCTGTGTGTTCCTTGGCCATCAGTTTCAAAGCCATTGAGGTTCCTGCAAGCAAGGATATATGGCAATAAATTAAGGGATGCTGAAGTGCTATATTGTAGTTAACAAATGTAGCACCAATAAAATATATATTATAATATATAACAACCTAGGTATTTGGCGGTGTGATGATATCCTGAGCTCTAGTGTAGTGATATCCTGAGTCCTGTGCTGCAACATCCTGGGAGGTTGGCTGCATTGTAACATCCTGAGCCCAATACCCAGGTCGCTACAACACAAAAGACTAATGGGCACGCAGCTAGTACCTCAGCCACACAGGATGTTACAAAACAGCCGACTAATCTGCATAGATCAACTCCATCAACTAATCAAGATGTAACAACACAGCCAACCAACCCAGTTACAGCAGCAAAGCCAGCACTCCACGCACCCCCCCTCAATATTTATAGAAAGACGGCAGCTCTGATCACACTTTATTCACACAAGCACGAAGCCAAAGGGACCAGGCTGAATATGGTAAGTGGGACCTCATCGCAATGTCACCAAGATACTCTCAATCTTACATGGGAAAAGACCTGAATACGCCAAGACCTGCACATACTCTGTCTGTGTGTGTGTGTGTGTGTGTGTGTGTGTGTGTGTGTGTGTGTGTGTGTGTATGTATGTATACACACATATATATGTTTTCATAGATTTTCACGGGTGTAGGTAAGCTAGTCTTGTATTCAGGTGTGTGTGTGTGTGTGTGTGTGTGTGTGTGTGTGTGTGTGTGTGTGTATGTATATATATAATCATCCATATATATGTGCCCAAGGCAGAATAGGAATACAGACTTCTGTTTTGTTTTGTTCTTTAGATTGTACCTTAATCATACACCAAACTGGCTGACTACTACTGTGTTTAATACAATAATAATCAGATGCAGCATATGTCAGGATTATATTGTGTTTTGCTGCATGAGAAACTTTTCTGAAATCTTGATCTGCTTACAATATTATTTTTGGATTTTCATCCCACAAGACCAAACAGATACATTACTGATCTTTGCAATGCATTTTTATCTGCAAATGAATTTCAAAAGCCTTCTCTTTACATCTGGTAATGTTAATTTTCTTAATCATATAATAGTCTCTTTTGTTCAAAAAGTATGAGGCTGACACACATAACAGCTTGGACAAAGCCTTGCAGAGGAAGAAAGAGACTAGGCATGACTGGGATTTCCTGAAGATGTGCTAATAGATGCAAACAAACTAATGAAATGCAGCTATTTCAGAGGCCCTTTCTCTTTGCAAAACAGGGTCATCTTTTAGAACTGCTGAAAGCTGACTAATTCAATGTTGTTTTGATTCTGCAGAATAAGCTTCGAAGTAATAGCAGACAAGACATTCTTCACCCTCCCTCATCCAGAGTCCATTTTAAAGGGGAGAGAGAAATGAGAAAACAAATGCTTTTGGCTTATCTGCAGTTGGTTTGTTAGTTAGCTGTTCCTGACATCCTTAAAGTCATATTGATTCAAAGAAAGGAGTTTTGGAATCAAAAGATATGGAGTAGAGAGGTTAATGTGGACACATTTATTATTTTATGTGTATCAATGTCTTAACAATATCTGATTGATGCTGTATGAGTTCTGAAATTAAGTAGTCTCAGTCAGTATATCAATGGGAGACCTTCATAGAGTCCCAGGACTGGAAGGCAAACAGGGGGGAAGGTAAAATATTGGGAGAAGATAAAACTTCCCAACCTGGAGGTGTTACTGCATCCCACTAGATGGCATTGTGAAGCTAGTTAATTAAACCACAAGGGAAATCTATATAACAGGAGAAATAGCAAACACCCATATTCTGTGCTCAGACTTTTCTTGCATGGGTGCTGGGCAATCTGCCATTCATTTACATTTTTTCTTAAAGATTGTTTCCTTCTGTATGCCTTACAGTTGGGAAGCTAGCCAATTTGCTGCTCTATTTGCTAGGTTTTGCTTTGCCAAAGCAGCACCTGCTTGTTGGCAGCTGTCCACATGCCTGGGATGACATAGTTAATTAATTGCAGGCAGTGTGAACTGGATGAGAGCAACAAGCAGTACAGGCTAAACTCAATCCAAGTCAAGACTTCATAAAATAAAAATGTAATCCCAACCTGAGGAACCCTTAAATTCCTCATAATTAATTGAATTCTTAAATAGGGAACCTGTGAATAAGACTTTCCAATATGATCTTCATAAACCTGTATCTATTGGACAACAGAACAAACTCAGATAAACAGTAGCATGATATATGCTGGCTTCATACATGATGCTAAGCTAGAAAAATATTTGTTCGGTTTTGGCTTAGTGTGTAAATCCAGCCACTGGAATGTATAAATCAATATTTATGGATTATGACTGTCTTGGTCAATACTCCATGGTTAAAATGAACCATAGGCTAATTTAGAAATGTATATTATTTGCATTTGATGTGGGGAAAACTGCTTCAGAACCAATATTGACACCTTTGCTAGATACACAATGGAAGTTATTTGGTGAACAAGCAATCTCCGGTGAACAAGCAATCTCCGGTGACCATGTTGCATTATATGATAGGCTTAAAAGTATTCCAAAGGAGTTTTGTTCACAGAAGGCTAAATAAAGATAGCTAATATTTTGATTCAAAGAGGGGCAAAGGTGTGTCGGCCCTCACTGCACCTATAGACAGTTTCTTAGAGAAATATCACCCTAAGAAGCTATGGCTTCCATGTCACCTGCTGATGGGGCATAATCACACTCAAAATAAGCATCTGCCAGAAGATAAATTGATAAGGACATTCCCCTACTTCCTATCAGTTCCTCAAAATACTCCTTAGCACATCAGGCTGGCCCTTTGTTCTTTAGAACATAGACTATCAGAGTTGAAAGTTGTTCAATCCTCTGCTCAAGCAGGACATCCTGAACCATTTCAGACAGTTGGCTGCCCAATCTCTTTTTAAAAGCATCCAGAAATGGAGCATCCACAACATTTGAAGGCAAGCTGTTTCATTGGTTGTTCTCATCAGGAAATTTATCCCAAATTCTACTTTGATTGATTTCCATCATTTCTTGCCTTGCCTTGGGTGCTTTCTCTTCTTTGTGGCAGCCCTTCAAATTTTGTCAAAAAATAGAATACCAATTTTCCATAGATTTATTTATTTTTATTGAAAGAATCTGAGAAATAATGGAAATGAGGACCCTGATGCTCCAACAGATATATTGGCAAACACAGGTTGGGTCTTCCTGGCTGTCCATATTATTTAAACCCAATCAAATGTTCACCACATTTGTATAGTCTTACCTCTCTCACGATGCTGAACCTGCAGAACATGTCCATAAGAGCCATTCCCTAGCTCTCTGGTTATGTTGTATCTCTCCTCTACCTCCAGTTTCGGTAAACTCTTGGAGGTAATGGATATGAGCTTTTCTAGGAATTCCTCATTGTCTTCAGTGTCATCCATATTCTCAGCAGAATTGACATCTTGCTCACCAGCAGCATCTGAGGAGAGGGATATTAAAATAAGCTATTTGCAAATCAGATATCAAGTTCCAGTTTATCTTAGCATTGATTGAAAAATTGAATGAGATTTACAAAAGTTGTCTGATTTCAGCTGAGAAGAATCTGGGCATTTGATGATCTAATTTTCTTTCCACTGTGATTTGAGAGTCGAGATGGCGCAGTGGTTAGGGGGCAGTACTGCAGGCCACTTCAGCTGCCTGTTATCTGCAGTTCTGCGGTTCTAATCTCACCGGCTCAAGGTTGACTCAGCCTTCCATCCTTCCGAGGTGGGTGAAATGAGGACCCAGACTGTGGGGGCGATATGCTGACNGACTGTGGGGGCGATATGCTGACTCTGTAAACCGCTTAGAGAGGGCTGAAAGCCCTATGAAGCGGTATATAAGTCTAACTGCTATTGCTATTTTTACATTATTTAGTATTATGCAACTGCTATGCAGATATCAATGAGAAAAGGTTTAAAGGAAAAAATTAAAGCCAGAAAAGGTTTGAAATAATTTTACTATCCTTAAAATGGAGATTAAAACAACCTTCCTATATTTGTAGTTTGATCAGAAATGGCATTTTAAATGTATGTATATGAGTGCATTATTGCCTTAATTTACCCAAAAGAATGGACTAAGGAACAAAACCTTATTATGTAATATTATGGGAGCAGTGTAAATCTACTGTTCCTACTTGGCTATAAGCATAAGACCTTACAAAGACTTTCTGAGTACTGATTCAGTCATAAAAGCAAAGGTGAAACTTTTTTTCTCAGTTCTATCTGTAAATGAATTAATTCCTTTCATGAAAGTACTATATTAACATTAATATATTATTATTAACATTGCATTACAGTATTAACATTACATTATTAACATTAATACATCATGTATTTCAAAATAAGAGCAATATATTTTCCTTTGCACTAAACCATAATGTGATTTGTTTGGTTTTGACATTGTGTGAACTGATTTGATTAGAAAGCAATATGTAAAATTAGTCACTATTAACATTATGCATTTTTGTTGTAATAATGTTAGTACTGTTGAGGAGAACCAGTATTTGTGGCATTTGTCTTCAAATGCCTGGGTAACTTTATTGTTTAAGGTATTGTGAACTACAGTTGGGGAAGAGCATAACTTCATGTTCTGTGTCAGGAAAGCAAATTAATTCACTCTGATTTGAGAAACGTATTTCTCCTATTAGTGTGTTTGAAAGCCTTTTGTGGTTTCCTCAACCTAATATTCCATTGTAAGGAAATAATAAATCCATGGGTTTTATATAGCAAGCAGATTTCACAATCTGGACCCTCATAAAATAGTTTTAAACCCTTAAAAGTGTTTCCCAACCTTGGTGACTCTTAAGATGTGTCAACTTTAATTCCCAGAATTTCCCAGCCAGCTAGGTGGGGAATCCTGGGAGTTGAAGCTCATATATGTTAAAGTAGCTAAGATTGAGAAGCACTGTCTTAGATAAGTTGCACCTTCCCAGAAGATAAAGTGGAACTGCTGAATCTTTCTTTTCTTTGCCACTGGAGGGAATGTAGGAAATGAAGATCCCAAATCTGATACCTTCCATGTATCCCATGTTACAAATTCTGTATGAGGTCAATAGCCTCTCTGTTCTGAAATCATTTGGAAGAGGTGGTAGAAGAAATCTTCTGGTGCACAGTAAATTCGGGGGGGGGGGGGAGAGAGGTTGGATGGGGGAAGCAGCCCTGAAACAAGAGCAACCTTCACTGGATTGCTGACCGCTCCCTTGTACAGTATGGCTGCTGCCTCTTCCTTCGTGATTAAGAATTCCCGCGTCCCTTATTTTTAACTAATTAAAGTTTATGGTATATCGCCGGCTATTGCCTAAGATTAAAAGCAGCCCACCCCTGCTTTCAAAGACCTCCTTGGAAAGAAAGAAAAAGACAACAGAGAAGGTTTTTTTTAAACCTACTTCCCTTTATTTGAGAATTTCGGACTTGGCGTTTACAAGCTTCCCAAATGGTTCGATGCCCTTGTCTTCCAAAGACCGCCGCTATTCCCCCCCCCCCAAAAAAAGTCCCTTTCTTGAGCGCGGGGAGGGGGAGTGTCCGACGTTGAATCTGCCTGGCAGATAAAGGTGCGCTCAGCACAAGAGAACTCGAGCCCCAGCTGGGCTAGGAAACAGCTAACCGCCGGGAGATGAACCTGAGCCAGCCAAGTGGCACCCTTCCACCGCCCCGCACCCAGCGGGGGGTGGACATTCCCTTCGTGCCGCTTGCGTGTGTCTGATCGACTGACTTTGCAGTTTCGAGTCCCTTCAGAGAACTCAGTTCAAATAGCGCCGGAAAAGCATTTTGGTGTGAAGCGAAAAAACGGAAACCCGTAGCACAGAGAAATCCTAGTAGCAGTTCCTTGAGGTTGGATATTTTTTCATCCAAAAGGAAGAACATTTGCCTCTGTCTGTTGGAAAATCAACTTGCTAACTGATATTTCATGAAATCGTAGAGGCACCCAAGAGGTCATCAAGTTCAACCTCCTGCACAATGCAGGATTCCTTACACACCATCCCAATATGACTACCAATGACTATCCAGCTTCTGTTTGAAACCTCAGTGAAGGGCCATTGCATGTGAGCAATTTGTTCCACTGATTGACAACTCTTACTCTCCAGGAGTTTTTAATACCTACATTTCTTTGAAATTTCATCCAATTAGTTCCAGTCTTAAGCACAAAAAAGGTTAAAAAAAATAAACCCAAACAGTTTTTCAGGTATTTGAAGACAGCTATCAGGTCCTCTCTCAGGCTTGTCTTTTGTAAACCATTAAAAATAAACCATTTACGGGAATATAATTTACTCCCTCTCTTATTACAGATACTGTTGGAACTATGACTGTTAGCATAATATTAATATTTCAAACTAGAATTTTTCGGGGGGGGGGGATCCATTGTTTTAAGATTCAGTGGAAAGTGAAAAAGAAATGAATATGAGTCTTTTCATATACAGTGCAGCATTGAAAAGTTACTTACTCATATGCCGAAAAAAATCATCTGTAGTCTTTTCAAAGTTTAGTCATTTGGGAGCTAGAATGAATCACTTTTTAAATTTGGCATTGTAAATCACAATGGCAAAAGCAGGCATCACTGAAGGATTTTGATGCTAACTCCAAAACAGCCAAAAATCTAAACACGGAACAATGTATGGAATTTCACTGAAGTCTACCTTATCTTTTGTAACCAAATTTTCTTATTCATGTTCCAATATACAATTTCTTGTTCTAAGCTGAAAGGAAAACTTCCCACAAATGATTTAGTATAAATATTGAGAAAAAGTTGCCTGATTTTTTTCAAGAGCCTGAAAGAGTCTATTGGAGAGGTGTATAAATCACTTAATCTTAGAGACGGCTGAATTAATTTCAGAGAGATGAGGTATGCCTATGTTATGATTCATTTTGTACATGATTCATTTTGTACATGATTCATAGGAGAAGACATCAGGCATGATTCATAGCAGAATTAAAGTGCACCATGTTAGCTAAAAAACATTTTTACATTTCAGTGGGCAAACATCACTTTGTAACAGCAAATACCACACAGCAACATTGATCATCTTTCACTGCATCCTTCCCCTCTTAATTATGATATAGTAACTAAAGAAATGTGAGTTTAAATGTGTGAAACTAATTTGAAGGATTATGTGGTTGGAAAAATCAAACTTTGTCCCAGTTGGATCTATATTATAGGGATATTTGTTTGTTTAAAACATTGTATTAATAGTCTTTAGTCCAATAGAAACAGTTATAAAAGTATAAAAGACAAATGTAACATATTTTAGAATTTTAAGGTAATCAATCTTGAGTTTCTGGAAGAAGGATGAGACTCAGAGGTAATTATTAATGTTTAAGGAAAAAGTTTGCATTTGCTTTTGCTATTCACCTGCGGTTACAAAAAAACTAAATAAAGGGGGCATAATACTTTTATGAGTAGTCACTACAGGTGCAGAATTTCAGCAGTTTTGGCTTTCGCATGCATGTCTTTACATTTTTCTTTTTTTAAAAAAGTTTCCAAATTAAACAAACAATCAAAGTAGCCAAAAGCCTAGGATGTATAAAAATTAAACTAAAGAGGAAATTCAACATAAATTTTAATATATTTTTAATTCTTGGGAGAAAATAATTCTATTATTCATTCAATGGCCCTGAACTGAATGTCAAGAATAAGGTATTTTTCAGAGATATTCCATTGATAATAGTCATACACAAGACACTTCTGCATAGAAACTGATGGATCATCATGTATTAATAAGTGTACCTGCCATTCATTTTTTAGGTCCCCTTCTTTCCTTCCTTCCTTCCATCCTTCTGTCCTTCTGTCCTTCCGTCCTTCCTTCCTTCCTCCCTCCCTCCCATATTTTAACTGCTTTATTTTTAGCTCTCCATCTTTTTTAACTACAGGAGGACATCTGAAAGAGATGTTGATTACGGTAATTATGCAGTACAAATATACTTTTTCTTCAGATTGGAGCTACTTTTTTTCTGAAATTAGTCTGAAAGAGAAAAGTCAGTGTCCAGAATCACAATGAGTATATCATCATAATTAGGTTCACCTTAAAATAATATTACATCTCAATGTGTCACCAAAATTCTGTAGTGAACATTTCAAGCAAAAACCTTGTCACAGAAATCAAAAGTAGCATCAAACATTACACTGTAAACAATTACATTGAAGCTACAAGGTTCGATGTAGCTCATATAGTTAAGAACTATAAACATCCAGTGTTTATTCCTCTCACAGAACTGCTACTAATCTGATCCGTGTCTTTTACTTAAGCCCAGCTCTCAAAGTTGTGATTTATATAAAAACAAATACATTAATTTAAACTTTGAAATCAGAGTTTAAATCTATGTCTCAGATTAAAATTGAAGAGAGAGAAGGTCTGAGAAAGGGAAGTTTGAGCAATTGGTGATTGGTTCCTTTTTCTCCTCTTAAC